ACCCATGACATCCAAGTTCTAAATTCTCCATCTATTGACTTCAGCTATTCTCACTTCAAAATTGACCTGACAGACTGCTCTGTCCTCATGGTAGTCCTTTCTGCACTTGCCTTCTAGGACACTTCCCTTCCTCTTCCTCCTGCCTCAGCGGTCCCTCTTTCTCAGTCACCCTCTCCTCTCCGATCTCTTCGGGTTTCTGGCTTTGAACCCCTCTCATTTCTGTCATGCCTACTCCAGATTTGTGACTCTACTTATATTCCACTTATATTCTCTTCTCCCCCAAAATTTATATCCAATTCAGACCTCCATGTTGAACCCAATATCAAGTTCCCAAGGAGCCAAGTAACACTTCCAAGTAACACCCAGTAACACCACCCTTTGTTGTAAACAGGGAAGAACTGAGCCTGTTTGTTGCCACAGTATAATATGGCTTCCCATGAGAGCTCCCAACTTGTCAACAAGTCCTCCCTGCTACTCTATTTAAAATTCCAACCCCCGGATTTCCCAATCCCACAACCTTGCTCTCCATTTTCTTTTCCCATAAACATAACATCTTTGAATTTTCTTATTCATTATATCTGTTGCTTGGTCTCTGTCCCCACTAGATGGTAAACGCCTCAAAGGGAGAGACCATTAGTTTGTACATTACTGTATCCCAGAGGTCTCCAGCAGGATCTAGCATAAGTATCTGTTGAGTGAATGAATGACGTTTTCCTACTTGTCTACATATGACAAGTTTTTTTCCCCTGTGAATGCCAATGGGAAGCTGTCTATATCCCTGAAGTCTAGTACCTTCAGGTTAAGGTTCTGTTCTGTCTTTTCTTGCGATTTGTCCCCTCCTCCAGGACGTGCATGCTTTTCAACCTATGAGCTTTTGTATATAAACAAAGGCCAATCCTTATTTCAGAAAGTGTGATACTATATCTTTTAATATTTTTCCTATTGCATTTTTTTCTAATCTCATCACTGGGAATGCCAGTTATCTTATGTTAAATTTCATTTATGAATCTTCTATTACCTTCTTTTTTTAATAAAAGACTTTATTTATTTAGTTGACAGAGAGAGATACAGTGAGACAGGGAACACAAGCAGGGGGAGTGAGAGAGGGAGAAGCAGGCTTCCTGTTGAGCAGGGAGCCCGATGCCAGGATCAATCCCGGGACCCTGGGATCATGACCTGAGCCAAAGGTAGATGCTTAATGACTGGGCCACCCAGGCACTCCTTCTATTACCTTCTTATAATCATTTTACATTGCTGTTCCTTCCTTTTATGTTTTGGTTCAGAAATAGGCAATTTAATTCAAGCCAATGAGTCACTGGGGAAGATGCGTGGGGGGCGGCTATCTGTCAGGCTCTTGAGATACAAGCAGATGGCACACTCATCCTGGAGAAACAAGGGTCTCTAGCTATAGAGAAACAAGGGTCAGACTAGTGGTAGCAGAGGGTCATACGTCAGCCTGAACCTAGAGAGGGAGGCTGCAGGGACAGAGTGCCTGACGGGGTTTCAGTCTTTTTTTTTTTTTTTTTGAGAGAGAAAGGGAGAGTGGGTGCACAAGCATGAGTGGGGGGGAGGGGCAGAGGGAGAGGGAGAAGCAGGCTCCCCACTGAGCAGGGATCCTGACTCAGGACTCGATCCCAGGACCCTGAGATTATGACTTGAGCCGAAGGCAGACCCTTAACCCAGTGAGCCACCCAGACACCCCAGGGCTTCAGTCTTTGATGAAGAAATGCCACCAGTCCATGGTCACCCAGCAGAGATGAAGCTAGGAAGTTTAAATACCTCTACCTCACTCTTGTCCATCCTTCTATTTTCTTGCCAATGATTCTTGTTGGTCACATCATCTGGCAACAAATGGGCAAAGGAACCCACTGGTTCCATCACAGATATCCCCCTCCCTCCACTCGAAGCAAGCTCAAGAAGACGGCAAGTGGGTCTGCAGGTGCAAATGGAAAATATCCAGTACCAGAGATTTTTTTTTTTTTTGGTGAAAAAGTTCCCTAGTGTGCTTGGTTTATGAGAATTTACTAGATATGGCTCCGATTGAAAGTGTTCATGGTTCTTGGCTCTGCCTGATAGAAGTCAGAACTGAACAGTTATGGAAAACCAACTGAGAGGACTCATCCCTGCGCCCATCCCCACCGCCACCACTATGACGCTAAAACCCTGGGCTTGGAGCACACCCCTGGGAGCCACTTGGGGGCGGATAGGGGATGGGTAAGAAATTACACATGGATGGTTATAATCTAGTGCTGGAACTGTGAGTGCGTAGGGAATTTGCCAGCTGGTCCCAAATTGTCCCAGTCCTGTAGATTTCCTGGAGTTACTGGCTGTTCCAGAAGAAATTCATGTCAAGAGGCAGAGTGGATCTATGTAGGCAACTATAAATGTACCTTAGGAGAAAAACTTTGGGGTCAAAAAGAGGGAACACCCCAATACCCTCCAGCATTTCCTACTGGAGGAAACAGTAGGAAAGCATTTAGGAGAAGCTATTTGGGGACACATCTGGGTAAATCTAAGTAAAGATCACTTCTGGATGGATTTTTCCAGCCCTTTCAGGATTGCCACAATGACAGAAAATCCTGTTAAGCTCATGGGAAAACAACAGAACCATCGGAGTGAAGGAAAAATGTTGACTGAGTTGGTGCCCTTTGAATGGGGACAAGAAAGCCATTAATGGGCCTTGGAAGTCCAGGATCTTGGTAAGTGGAGTTACTGTCACGCATGTGGGGACAACATGCCCATTGCTGACAGTTCACCGCAAATTCCTGAAAGATCTAAACCACACTGGTCACAGTGACTTTAAACTAGAGCTTTAGAAATTGTGACTTGGGTTCCCTTTAGTGGTTTACACTCAAACCCTTGACATCCCCAAGTGGGCTAGCTAAGAATAACAGCGAAGGCAGCCACAGTGGAGGCACAGATTTTGAATCTCCATTTAAAACAGAGCAACTAGGGCGCCTGGGTGGCTCAGTGGGTTAAGCCCTCTGCCTTCGGCTCAGGTCATGATCCCAGGGTCCTGGGATCGAGCCCCACATCGGGCTCTCTGCTCAGCAGGGGAGCCTGCTTCCTCCTCTCTCTCTGCCTGCCTCTCTGCCTACTTGTGATCTCTGTCAAATAAATAAATAAAATCTTTAAAAAAATAAAATAAAACAGAGCAACTATATAATAAAATCAAATCACATGGTCAAAGTTTTGCAACAAATCTAGATAACAAGGTATACCCATGAACTCCAAAATGCAAGCCAGTAAGGAGAAACTAACAACAGCCCCCAGAGCCCGGCATGAGAGCCAGCATCTCAAGAAGGCAATAGACCTGAAAACAGTAATTCACTGGAAAACAGGTCAGGTCAATTTAAGAGCAAACCAGGAAGCGTTCTCTCAGGCCAATGTTAGATAAGTGCAAATGGCCCGGCATAAGTGGGAAGACTATCTTAGAAAACAACACTAAAATTTGATGCACAGGATAGATTTTTTAAAACAATTTTTTAAAAAAGATTTTATTTATTTATTTGTCAGAGAGAGAGAGAGAGAGCGAGCACAAGCAGGCAGAGGCAGAGAGAGAAGCAGGCTCCCTGCTGAGCAAGGAGCCCGATGTGGGACTTGATCCCAGCACTCTGGGATCATGACCTGAGCCGAAGGCAGTGGCCACCCAGGCGTCCCCACAGGATAGATTTTTATGTATGTGGAAATAAACAAGCATCTAATGCCTATGAAGCTTCAAAATTCTGAGAGGTGGAAGAGTGTCCCTGCTCCTCTCCTGTCCTTGGACATTTGTTAAAGGAGTAGCAGCCCAGGATAAGCTATCTCTTTAGCCTCCCTTGCTAAGGAGTAAGGTCTCACAGAGGTGTGCTGCATTCCCCATTATCCAACTCCTAAAAATCCCTAGATCAGGGGTGTAGAGACCTGGACTCTATCCATAGTTGCTGAAACTTGGGGCAAAACATTTTACTTCTCCGAGCCTCAGTCTCTTTACCTGTGAAATGGGAATAATTTTAGTAAGTGTTGTCTTGCTTATCTGAAGAGACTATGGGGTGGATCGACAAAGACCATACATTTGGAAGTGAGGGAGTCAACTGCTTTTCACAGTCAGGAGTTCATGTGGCTGTTCTGCCCCTTACAGTTGTGGGATCTTAGGTAAGTCTCAACCTCTCAGCCTGTTATTCTCAGCTCTAAAATCATAATAGTAATCATCATCATCGTCTGAATTGCAGAGCTGCTGTGGGAATGAAATGAAGCGCTTAGCAGCTTAGACACACCAGAGCACTCACTGAACCTTACCTACTTATGTCTCCATGATGCCCTGTTAATTAGGGTCCTTATGGGAAGACTGTTGAGCTCTCTTATGCTCTTCCCACTAGTGAACGCCAGAGGGCGACATAGACAGCGGGACCCCAGCCACAAGCCGGCCTGACGCCGCGCCACCACTGGCCACGCGGTGGCACTAAGCCACAGGATGTCTGATTCTTCCGCAGAGTTTGAGGCGCAGAGAGAGCTGTCGGAATGGGAAGGGAGATGGGGGCAAAGGGGAACCCTGAGACTTGAGAAGCCCTAAACCAAAGGATCAGGGGTCCCTGGACCATGTAGCTTCCGGATTTTAGGGACATAAAGGATCATTTGGGAAAGAATGGGTTTTAGAGTCTTTTTGCATATGAGGGCGCCCCCTTCCTCCTAGCGCCAGATCTGCATCCCCTTCCCCGGGGCAGCCTGGGCGCTGACAGCGCGAGCGTTCGTCTCTGCGTGCTCCTCCTCTCCTCGCTCTAGCTCATTCATCTGCGGCCGCGGTACGCCGTTGCCACGGAGACGTGATGCAGGCGGGGGTGGTGGGGGGGGGGGAGGGAGGCCCCGGGTGACGTCTGAGCTGCTAGCGGCTTGTCTCCCGCGGCCTCCCAATTCTTGCCTATTTTGGAAGAGAGCCGCAGCCCTTCTGCTGATGCGCGCGCGCTGGCGCCTTTTAAAGGCAACCGGCGGAGTGGCGGCTCCGCTAGAGCCCGGGAGCTGCCCCCGCCCCCGAGCCGCGAGCCGTGCGGAGCCTGGGCCCGGGAAGCCCCCAGCGCCATACACCCCACCCCCATTCTAGCGCCCTTCACTCACTTTAGGGGAATTCCAACCATGGAGAAAAGGGGTCCTGCCCTTGCCCCTCGTCCCCCTCTTCCTCCCTCCAACAGGGCAGACTCTTCTTCGATAGGAGACTTGGAAGAAAAGGAGATGCCAGGCCTTGCGCGTTTGGGGATCCTCTCTGGACAAGGCCACAGAGTGAAAACACCAGGTGAGAACGTCACTAACCGCGGGGCTACCCCGGGTCTCTGAGATCCGCGCCCCCTCCAGCTTCCTGCCTTAGCCTTTTTCTCCTCGGGCTCAGCCTGGGGTCGTTTAGGGTCCAACTGGAAGGCCTTTGACCAGTTTCTCCAGCCCACTCATTAAACTGAAAGGGAAACTGAGGCCCAGAGAAGGGTAGTGACTTGACCAGGGCCACATGGTGTGTTCCTGGAGAGCAGTGAGCCAGAGCCCAGCGATGCGGACTTCCTAGCCAGAGGTCAGTCCCGTGTTTGTTCACCTTGAGAATAGCTGACACAGTGTGCCAGCCTCTGGCCCTTACCCCGCACCGGCTGCGGAGCCAGACGGTTCCCCTTCCAGCATGGCCTCGGCTGCTGCTTCTTCCCCAGGACAGTCCAGATCTAGGTGGGCTTTCTGGATTGTTGATCACTCTAGATAAGCTTCAGGATCCCAAGGACGCTATGGCCAACCGACCAGATTGCTACTTGCAAACGTCTGCTTCCATCGAAGGCTTCCTACAGCTCACCAACTCTCTGGAACTTTCTGGGGCCAAACCTCTTCCAGACTGCTTACAAGCACTTGTTAGTTTCTGGATGGATGCATGGCCTGCAGGCTCTGGCCAGACTCCCCAGAGCCATGTGGACCCAGCTCTTCGGACTCCCGTGCCCAGTCCTGATGCCTGCACTCTCCCTGTAGCACCCACAAGGGTGTTTGACCAGAACTCCCTGAAGACAGCTGTGAAGTGCTCTACATGCCCAGGGCACTGTATACATTCCAGACACCTCTGGGCCCTGACTCTGGACCAGGGCTGGGGACCCAGAGGTGCATCCGACCCAGCCTGGTTGTGAGCACCACGTTGTGAGCACCACGTCTGGCAAAGGAGAGAGGTTTTTGCTCTGGAGCAGTTAGCCCCGGAATCCTGAATGGCTCTTCCAAGGGGTATCCATTGCCAGAGCCAAGCCTTTGATGCACAGAAGGGGAAACTGAGGCATCCCTCCGAGAGACACTATTTGCCAAGGTCACACAGCAAGTCAACGCATTGTTGAGACTAGTTCCCAGAACACCGCCTCTTGGCCTGGGCAGGGAAATCTGTATCCTGATCCCAGAAGCTAGACTTTGAGAGGTGCACAAAGCCAGGCACCTGGTTGAGGGTCCACCTTTACTAAATGACGGCTGCGCCACCTGGACCATTCTCGGTACTAGAGCCTCAGTCACCCAAGGGGGATGACTAAGAGGCTCCCACTGCAACTGTGAGCCTGGGATTTTATGAAATGTGGTGTTTTTCCAGGCTGTGGCATCCCTCTCTGGCGATCTGTGGGATACTGCTGGGGTGTTTTCCTCCCATCAGCTTGACACTAAGGAGTGCCGTGAGGAGATCATAGTTGCTTCAGCCATGGTCTATGCAGACCACACTGGGATGACCTGGGAATCTGTTTTACACACTTTAGAGCCCTTTGGATCCCTCCAATGGTAAGTCCCCTTGGTGCACTTGGCACAGACCTGTAAATAGCCTCTGACGGGTTGGGTTTGAAGGAGGAAAACCAGAGGGTCAGTGCCAGTACTTGCTACCACCTATGTCCACACAGGCCAGGCCTCCAAGGCCCAAGGTGGCCCTACTTGTCCAGGACTGAGGGCTTAGTCCTCTGGGAGACTTCAGGCCCACCTAGACCCTAGCACTAGGCACATGGGCTCTTCCCACCTGAAACCTGCTCTCGGGGAGCAGCATTCAACCTCCAAACCTGAGACGCACGAACCAGCTGAGCCCTGGGCCCAGAGATGCTCACAATGCCAGATATGGGAGGTTCCTTCCAGGCCAAGTGGTCCAACCCACTGCCACTGCCAGTTTGCAAACAGGGAAACTGAGCCCAGAGAGGGGAAGGAGCTTGCATAACACCCAAGCTGGCTGGTAGCAGGGCTACAACCAGAATCTTGGTCTCCTCTCCAGGACTCTCCCCTGCATCAAACACAATCCACTGAGATCTAGGCTGAGCCCACCTCCGATTCTGCAGAACCTTGACAATCCTTGACAGAAGGCTCTTCCAGCCCACCCCTTGGGTATGCTAGGTGATTCACGAGCTTTCCCTTCAGCCGGATGGTCCTTTCTCCTAAAGCTTCCTGGTGTTCCCTCCCAATATGCCCAGGCTTCATCTTTTCCTGCTTTCAGGATCTGCTCTGTCAACCCGCCATAACTGCAGCTACCCCTTTCCTGCCATGGTTCAACCAGCTCCCTGCAGCTCCAGCATTTCCAGGGAGGGGGACCATTACTCCCCCTGCTCTCGGGAGTCTCTTCTTGGTTGCTCCTCCGGCTTCCCCTCTGTCACTGGCTAGTCCCAGGCCTGCTGCTTTCCCATGGTCACCCCAGCCTTGAGCCCCTTCAGTTACTCCTGAGCTCCTGTGGGCCAGGCCTTGGAGACTTCCTCTCTGTCTAGGGCCAGTGGGAATAAAAAGTACCGGTATGTGGCAGGTTGCCATGACGTTTGAGTGACATAATGCACATGTTAGGTATATAAGGTGCAGGTAAGTGCTGCATCAGTGAACTCTCGTGTTGCAAGCTGTGTTCAGGTAATAACCAGATCCTTGGAGCTGGGGCCTGTGGTGGCCTAAACACCAAGGGGCAGAAGAGGGAGGGGGCCAGGAGGAATTTGGGGTAACTGGGAGTGATAGAAACCAGAAATGTTTTAAGTTGGAAAAGAACTTGTTTAGGTTGGCGTCTAGAAAAATCCAAGGGGACCTCAGTCACTGAGCACTGAAAGAGCTCATTGGGCCTCCATCCTGGACGTGCTGAGGACTGTGGGATCCAGTGGCGCTTGGGGAAGGGTCATGTTGGGACCCAGGCCAGAGCCCACACAGATTTTGTGTGCATATCTCAACTTTTCCAGGACCCCAGCTGTCATCTTTGTCTTTTTCTTTTGAACTGCTGCAGCTCTTAGCCCGGCCCAGCCCATCTGCTGCTCTCAGACCAGGCTGGGCCAAGGCTACAAAAAGCCAGTGGGTGTCCAGGAGCTGGTTCCACACTTACAGTGACAGAGCCTGTGCTATGTCCTCAAGCAGCACATGCCATGTCTTCGAGCCTTGCTCACAATTCCATTTTTCATGAAGGTGAAATAACGACGACTGGCATTCCTTCATTCAGCAACTATTATGCTCCTTTCGTGTGGCAGGCATCATTCCAATTGTTTTAATGATTTAACTCATTAAAATTTTGTGTGAATCCTTGGATGCAGGAGCTATTATTCTCCTCACATCCCTGTTTAACAGATGGGTAAACTGAGTCATGAAATGTTGTCACTTGCCCAATGTGAAGGAACCAGGACTCCACATGGGCATCTCACTCCAGAGCCCCCAACTGGACCCTCACCCTCTCTTGCCTCTCTGAACCTCAGGATCCCTCCCACTCACCTGCCCACAGCCCCCTCACAGTCTTGCCCTTAGCACAGGAGCCAAGCCTCCTGGTCAAGGTGGGGGCCCTGCTGCCCTTAGCAGAGGCTGCCCCCTCTTCACCTTCACTCCCCACACCTGTTAACACAGCCTCTGGCTCTGATGGCTCCTTCTGTGGCTACCTGTCCCCATCTGGGGTCTCATTTATGATTGCATTCCTCTGTGTACCCTGCTCCACACAAGAAGGCACAGTTTGACCTCATCCAGCAACTCAGCTCAATCACACCTCCACAGGGGGGCCACCCCAAACTCCACGGGCTCAGTCAGTCCTCATCTGGCTTCTCCTCACACACGCTGCCTGTCTTCTTCACGGCGGTCATTTCAATGGCTTCATGGAGTTCCCACTTTCCCACCAGTCTGGACGCTCCATGAACTTAAGAACAGGCCCGTGTTTCCACACTCTGTGCCAGTGCCTAGCACAGAGCCTGGCACAAACCCAGCGCTCAGATGTGTGTGCATGAATGAAATACATACGTGGGCCCTGCTCTGGGCCGGGTCCTATGCCAGATGCTGTGACTATGGGGAGGAGACGGAGATGCTGGTGGGGAGACAGACAAATAAACAAGCAATGATGGTACAGGATGAGAAATGCACTGATGCAGAAATAGGGGAGGCTGTGGTAGCACTGGGGAAGGGCCCCGGACCCAACGAGAGGATGAGCCGAGCAAGGAGGAATTCACCATTGTGTGTGTGGGGGGCGGGGGCGGGAGACCGTGGTGCAGAAGACTCTGAAACTGGGCTGGACTAATAAATGAATGGTGGAGGGTCTGTCTCCTCCTCCAGACCCCCAGCTCCTCAAAGGCGAGGCCAGTGTCCTGAACTCCTGTCTACCCCTTGGGCCTTACAGGAGTATTGGGCCCCTGTTGTGCACTTAAAGAACCCTTTCGGTGATACATTTTCCTCACCTGCTTGGAACACGGCTGTTCTGACATGCTCTTCATTGTATGACTTGTGGCCCCTTTTCTCTGCCCTGCCTCCAGGTCCTCGCCCAGAGCAGTTTCATCTCTTCCCACCCGGCTACACTCTCCCACCCACCGCATGGTTCCCTGCCCCTCACCTTCTCGGCTCAGCCCACTCACCCGGCTCTGACCGTCTCAATGTGTGGGTGCCAGCATGTACCCTCTTCACATGAGCTTTGTTGATTTCATAACCATAAATAGATAAAATGTTCTGAATATCTCCCTGTGCAAGTAGATTGGGGGAGTGATCACATAATGAAAAGGCCTTGGGAGAAAGAAAACAGGCTTCGAAGATGCAGCTGAACAAAAGACAGCCGCTGCTCAGACCAGGTCTACATAAGGATTATGCTTCCACTCCACAGACGGGCAAACTCTAGACCTGGGCCTGGGGAGATGCTTCAGAATCTGTTAGAAAACTTTGGTGTGGTTTCAAACCCAAGAACAGTCTGGTAAAAATGCAAGGAAGTAGGGATGCTTGGGTGGTTCAGGCAGTTAAGCATCTGCCTTTGGCTCGGGTCATGATCCCAGGGTCCTGGGATTGAGTCCTACATTGAGCAAGGAGCTTCTTCACCCTCCGCCTGCTTGTGCTCTCTCTCTCTCAGATAAATAAATAAAATCTTTTAAAAAATGGAAAGAAGTGGAAATCAAGAAACCTGGTTTCTAATTTTAGAATCATTTCATTCTAGCTGTGTGACACTGGGCAAGTTAACTAAACCTCTCTGAGAAGTTGCATTAGGTTTCTTCCCCTTGGTCAGACTGAAGACTCGAGGAGGCCCAAGACCCCATAATACCATAATTTTCTTCCCACCAGGGCTTTCTGTCCTCCTGAAAACACCTTCATCACCAACTATGGGACGTCCTTCTTCCCAAAATGTAGTCCTGAGACTGAGGTTGGAGTAAGGATGGAGTGGAGTATCCTGACACTTTATTGCCAAATCCAACCCTTGTTGCCATGGCAACAGGAAATGGACCATCACTCCTGCATGGAGATGCTCCATGGGGGCTAGAAGCCAGTAAGAAGCCTAACCCATGGAGCCTCCCAATCTCTCTTCTCTTGAGGGGCGTAGGAACAATACTGCTTTCTGGCATTTGGAAGAGTGAAGGCAGATAAAATCATAGCTTGGTATGCCCTGGGCCCAGAGAGCTTCTGGCTGAGAAGGAGAGAGGTGGAGATAGTCCTAGTGTGAACTCATCCTCCTCTAAAAGATGGAAAACTTTCTCTGCAAAGGGTCAGTTTGTAAATACTTTAGGCTTTCCAAGGCACATTTTCTCTGTTGTGACTGCTCAACCCTGCCCCTGATCCTTAGACAATACATAAACAAATGCACGTGGCTGTGGGCCAGTAACTTTATTTACACAAACACTCAGTGGGCAAGATTCAGCATACTGGCCAGAGTCTGCAGACCCCTACTGTTCGCTATGGTGCAAGAGAAAGAGCTGGGAGCAGGAACTAGGCATAAGGCTCAGAATCACCAATGACTTGTTGTGTGACTTTGGGTAAGTCACTGTCTGTCCCTGATCCTTAGTTTCACCATCTATCAAATGACTATAACAATATCAGTCAGATTTGTCATGAAAATTGGTCTAACAAGTCAGAGCAAATTTCAAGTCTTTCCATCTCTCTGTTCCATCACTTCAAGTAGAGCTAACTACCTTCCCAAGGCCATGTCCTTGCCTGCTAAGGGTGGCAGGAGTCCACTGGAAGGAAGAGGTGTTTCTCTCTAGAGTCAGATTCTTAGTCTGGCTTTCCAAATTCCAGCCTCAAGTGACCCCATTTCTGCAGCAAGCCAGGCACAGGAGGAAACAAGGAATCCCTTCTTTTCCACCATCCAGTCATTTGGCAGGAAGCTACAGTTCACTTGAGAAAGTGATGTGGCTGCAGTGGCTGGTGGCCAGGTCTTAGAGGAGGCCTTTGAGATTCAAAGTTAGGAAAGGTGAGCTTCAGTGCTCCCTAGAGCATTTACCTATGGCCCCAGCTTCCCTGAGGTACATGTCAAGTAGCCACAGCTCTAATCTGGTGGTGACTGGCAGGTCCATCTACTGCATTAATGGATCATTCTTGAGCCATCTTCTCCACCTGTCTGGTTTGACCACCAGGAGATCCTGCATCCTTAAGCATCTTGTCTTCTGCTCTGAAGACCCATTAAGTGATTCTCTACCCCCCAGCCCCTCCTCCTCTCCCTCCCTCCTTCCCTTCCTTTCTCTTTCTCATCATAAACACATTTGTTCAGGGTAAGACAGGATACACTTCAACAACCCTCTGCCAAGAAAGATACTTGCCCCAAGTATCCAGAAAAGCAGCCCTAACCATGAGTCTCCATGCTGTTCTAAAGAAGCAGACCCCCCACTACTAGTCATCCTCCATCTCCTTCTCAGGGGGCCACCATCCCCAAAATCTCTAGAAAAGATACACTTCTCTTTGAGAATGGTTGAGGGTTGATGTCTTTCTAGGTCCCCAATAAAGCTATGCAAGACAGGGCCAGGGGATCTCACAGCCTGTTCTTGCTATAAAAAGACCTTTTTCAGAAAAAAATAATAAAGAAAGAAATCAGCCAATCGGTCCTCAATGCCATCACCTCTTCTTGGTGATTTTTCGGGGAAGGAGTGGGCGGGTTGCCATGGCAACAGATGCAAAGAGCTTGTCTCAGTAAAGAAGGGACCTTGATATTTTTTTCTCTCTCTCATTCTCTCTCAGTTGTGTGTGTATGTGTGTGTGTGCGCGCTGCGCATGCCTGTGCCCACACCAGGAATTTTTTTTTAGAACTAAAGAAAGCCCTTCTCTTCCCTCAGCTCCCCAAATATGGAGCGATGGAAAACCACTTACTCCTGCAGGCCGGGGAAGATTCAGGATAATTCAAGAAAAAAGGGAGAGGTCATATGGGGCTCCCTTCCTCCATCTTTTTTTACTAGAGATCGCATGCAATACAGACTTTCACCAATGGTTGGGGGTCAAGGGTTGGAAAGAAAGGAAGATGCCAGGTGGAGAAATGTAAGGGATAAGTTGTGCAAAAGCCCAATGAGTGATATCAGAGAGGGCAACAGAAGGTGCATTGAGGTTGGGGATGCATGCAAATTCATATTCTCCATTGAATGCTGAGAAAGAAAGGCACAGAGCAGGCTCACATATAGATGCAAACACACAGACAGGGAGGCACACAGAAAACTGCAAACATATGAACACATACACAAACATAGAACTACATACAACACAGGAAGTGGAGGACATTTTTTACAAAGACAGATACAGATGCAGGCATAGGCAAGTGCATAGGTATACAGGGATACAGACACACAGCTACAAAGACACATGCAGACAGACACAGACGTACAAATACAGTCATAGTCAAATGGACAGATGGACACAAGTACACCCTCAGTCTGGCTCCCTCTCTTCAACTGCCCAAGAATTGCTAAACAGCAGTGCATAGCTGAGAATACTGCAGGCTCAAACCATGGGTTTAGCTGGGTGGCTCCTATTACCCCCATTCCTTCTACACATTCACCCCTAAGCCCCTATTTTTTTAAGTAGGCTCCACACCCAGCATAGAGTACAACACAGGCCTCAAACTCAGGACCCTGAGATCAAGGCCTGAGCTGAGATGAAGAGTTAGATGCTCAACTGACTAAGCCACCCAGACACCCCAGCCAAAGCCCCTCTTTTAATTCACTTCTTGCCCATTTTCCCATAGCCAATGGGCTCTGATTCCTCCCCCATCTCAAGCTTCCAATTCTTAGCCTCTTCTGTTCTGCTGCTGCTGCTGCCTGCCGATTCAAGGAGGGGGAGAGTGGGGTGACTCAGCCTGGCCGGGATGACTCACACTGCCAGTATTTTTAGCAGCGGCCAGGAGCTCTCTAGCGTGCCAGCCGCCCCCCTCCTCCTGCTTGCTATTTTGGAACCGTCACTGGTGATATAAATAGCTCCTCTCCCACGGCCTGAAGCTGCTGCCAAGCTATTTTTGGTTCTGCTCAGTTAAAAATAGCTTCACGGAGGTGGGAGGCAAGGGGAGTGGGAGCTGGCCTAGGGAGAGGAGACATTGGGGCACACAGAGCTTCTCAACTTGAATTAGAGTGGGTGAAATAGGATGAGCCCTTCTCGTCCCCCTCCCTTATCCTTTTCTAGACCCTTCTTTACTTCCAGAGGGCCTTCCCCCCAGCCCATTCTGGAAAAATGCAAGGATTCTTCCCTTGAGCTAGTTCTTCTCTCATGCTAATTTTACACTTCCAGCTCAGAAACCTTGGGACCCTAAACCCTAAAACCCCCCACATTCATCCTCCAAGGAGAAGTGGATGGCTAACTGGGGCCTCACTCTGAGGCTTGTGTGAACTCAAGCTCTACTTTGATGTCCAGGCAAATCATGGCCAAATTACTTTTCGGGTGATTTTTTTTTCAGAACCATGGACAGCGGTCAGCGCCCCATTCTTTCGCTGTGGCTCTGTTTAGCTCGGTGGACACTGGATGGACAAGACCAACACATAGTTCTTATCCTAGAAAGGGATGCTAAGATTGTCTCCCAGCCAAGGCTAAAGCATCAGTAGGTGAAGAAATCAGGAACACTGCCCCAGATTTTCATACAAGAATGGTCCAAAGATCATTGGACCAAAGGGCTTGTCCAAACAGAAGCTTGAGGGAGGGGTGGGTGGGTGCACCAGAGGTCAGATACAGATGGAAGTGGAACAGAGGTGTACTTCCTGAGGGAATGATTTCTCTGTAATCCAGATAAATAGGGTTAGAGATAGTGGCAGACAGACAGGCACACACACCTCTTCCCTTCCTCTCAGTCGCGCCACTGAACACAGGATGGATGATGGAGATGGCCCCAACCTCTGTCAAAATGGCACAAAAGGTCACGACTGGGTGCCCAGACGCCTCCTTCTGAGACATCTTTCTCCTCAGCTGTCTTCTGCCCCCACTCTGCCTCTCTTGCCACCACCTTTCCCCAAAGGGATGAGGAGTTTCTTGACTCCAAATTTTGCTTTGATCCCAAAGTTTATCCCCACCCTTCCTATGTGACTTTCTACCATCAGGCCAGACCCTCTCCCCCAATTTTTAAGTGGTCTTATTTTCAGCCTCTTCATACTTTCACACGGATCCTTAGTCTACCATAAGATTTCACATAAAATGTCCCCTAGACCACATCCTTCTCCTTTTATGGAATTCTAGGGGAAAGAAAGGCTCCCCTCAGCCCCTGTGGACAGCAACTATATGTGCTGAAAAGAGAAAAAAAGAAAGAAGGACATAGAGGGCAAAGGTGACAGGACGTGGAGACAAAACTGATGAAGAGAGGTAGGGAATCTGGAGAGAGCAGAAGGGGAAATTTTTTTTGGGGGGGGGGGTTTACAAAGCTGAGACAGAACACCAGGCAGGCAATGAGATTCAGAAACTAGTCGGGGCCGAGGGAGGACGATGTGGAGAGTTGAAGGTTAAGAGACAGAACAAGGAGTCCTAGTGCGGAAGACGGGGAGGGGGTTGGAGAGGGGTACAGAGGACAGCCCGACGGAACTACGGGGTCCCTGGCAGGTGCAGGGATCTCGGAGGGT